GGACCATGTTGCTATATAGAGCTCTTTCCAGAGTCTACTTTCTGTGCTCATGTTTGGCGGAACCACTCGGATTGCCGAACAGAATCAGCTCGACCAGGAGCTTGCTTCAAACAGTAGCCGTAACCCAAGCCGTCATGGCCTTCACAGCATCAGCATCGTGAGCCCGTAGCAGCTCAGTAGCTTTCGTCTTCGACAAGTCCAGCTGATCAGCCTGCAAGTCAACCATCAGCCTCCGTTGTCTACCCTCTCGCAGGCATGCTAAGCCATATCATACCAACAACGCAACATCCGCCTGGTCCACCTTGACCAGCTTCTTCGGCGCCTCCTCCTTCTTCGCCGCCGCCCCAGAGCTCGGCGTCTTCTGCCCCTGTGCCGCGCCCAGATTCTTCATCGCGTCATTCAGCGCCTTCAGGTCCATTTCCTTTTTGGGCGCGACATCGTCCTCGCCTCCCTTGATGTCGAGCGAGGACATGGCTTGCGCCGCTTTGCGGTCTTCTGCATTGGCAGGTAGGACATCCGGGGCGTCTGCACCCTCGGTGATGTTGGGGGGTTGTGGCTCCGCCATTATTGCATTCAGTTGTATTGTCCACCAGAAGGTATTTGATGAGGTCGCTGTCGAGGCTCTGCCGGCAAGCTCCGTGCGGTAGGGCTGACATATAAATTCACATGTGACTCGGCAATATTGCGTTCCTGCATCAATACAAAGTACATCCATTGTATGATTTGAGTACGCATATAAGCTCGTCCAACTCTTCGTGTATGACTGAACCTCTCTCGACTGACTACGCAGGGAACACATGACGATGGACGACCACGTACCCAACAAAGGCATCTCAAATGGAACATCCCACTCAGACTGGTCTCCATCGTCCTGGCGAACGAAACCGATCAAGCAACCCGTAAACTACGGAAACCAAGCACTCGTCGACAAAGCCACCGCAAAACTCCGCCGGTTCCCCCCGATCGTAACACCAACAGAGATATGGAAGCTCCGACGAGCCCTCGCCGAAGTGGCCCAAGGCAAGGCCTTTCTTCTCCAAGGTGGCGACTGCGCCGAGCTCTTCGACTACTGCAACGACCAAGCAATCGACTCGAAAGTCAAGTTGCTCCTCCAGATGTCTCTAGTCCTGATCTGGGGTGGCAATAAGCCTGTGGTACGGATAGCTCGTATGGCCGGACAGTACGCGAAGCCCAGAAGCTCGCCAATGGAGACAGTGGATGGCAAGCAGATGCCCAGTTTCCGTGGCGACATACTCAACGGATACCCTTCCGATCAGAGAGCGATCGATCCGGATCGCTTGGTACAGGCTTACTTCCACTCGGCGGCAACGTTGAACTACCTCCGGGCACAGCTGGCGTCTGGGATCGCGGATCTGCATAATCCGATGGAATGGGAGCTTGGGCATGTGGGTGACCCTGAGCTCCAGCAGAAGTACACGAAAATAGTTGAAAGCATTAGCGAGTCGCTTCGCTTTATGCGGACAGTCGGCGCGGACACCGCAGGTCAACTGGAGACCGTTGACCTTTTCACCAGCCACGAGGGCCTACTTCTCGAATACGAAGAAGCTCTCACTAGAAAGCTGAAGCACCCGTCAAACTGCAACGTGCCACCCACGCCCAAACCAGCCCCCAAAGTCTCCCCACTAACAGGCGGCGCTCTGATCAACCCTTCCATCCCCCAGGACCCAGAAACAACAGGCCACTACAACACCAGCGCCCACTTCCTCTGGGTAGGCGACCGCACCCGGCAACCAGACCACGCGCACATCGAGTACTTCCGCGGCATCGAAAACCCCATAGGCATCAAAGTCGGTCCCACGATCACCCCAGCGGACCTCACCCAACTCCTCGACATCGTTGACTCCCGCAGAGAAACCGGCAAAGTCACCCTCATAACGCGCTACGGCGAAAGCAAAGTCGCCGAGCTCTTGCCCCAACACATCGCTGCCGTGCGCAAGACG